CCATTGGAGGTGACACCACAAAAAAGCAAGCATCCATTGTAACTGAGGTTACCAGATGCATTTCCATATCATGAAATAGAATCCTTTCTATACATTTTCTAATTATTGTACTTGAGGTTTGCTATTTAATATGTAACTAATAATTAACCCTGTTCAAATCACTGATCCCAACAACCGTGAAAAGAAACAAATTGACAAGAATAGAAAGGGAAGGACAGATGTCTAGAAAAGGCTGGACTTTTTGTGTTAACAGTTGAAATATTACACTAAATATGAGCAATGAGTGCTCCCTTTGGTGGTTTTTCCATTAACTCTGAAAAATATCCTATTTTGAGTGTTCTTTGCTTCACTATTCATATATTCAGTCCCTAGTACCTCTCCTACTCTTTAATTGCTCTCTCTCGCTCTCTATATTTATTTATTTATATTTATTTATATATAGGCTATATTTATATATAGGCTAAATGTTCCTATAGTCTCTACAGTTTGCCAAAAAAAAAAAAAAACCCACAACCCTCTAATGTTTATCAATAAAAAATTAAAGTTGGGCAAATTTAAGTTTTCCCTAAGCTTGGCTCCTGGTTGCTTCACAAAAACATCCATGTGGTTTATGGAAATGGTTTCCTATTGTCACCTTTTGGGATGATGATGATGATGGTGATGATGATGACGACTACCACTTCCCAAATGGGGATACCTGAAACCATCCAAAAAAGATTATGCATATTCAGTGAACTCAGAAAATGTTAGTGAAAAATAATGTGAAAATGGGCAGGATAAACACACTGGGTATAACATGTAGTTGTGTCCATTGGAACAAGGAGACAAACAAGTGATAACCAAATAGATGGCTAATAATTAAAATGGGAAGAAATTACACAGAATCTTGCTGACCTTGGCTGATCTCAAAAAAACTAAGCTAGCACAGGTCCAGTTAGTACTTTGATGGTAATAATTAAGAAATTCTAGGGGTCTAGGATAAGTCCAAGAAATCAATATCCAGGAGGAGGCATTGCCAGGAAAATTCAATGGATGAGCTTATGAAATCACCAAAAGTCAAGTTTGACTAGAAGGAGGCTTTATATTTTATTTTATGGGAAACTGGGTGAAAAGGACTGTTAGGAAGAACAGTAAGCATATGTTATAGAAGGAGTTCCTTAAAATCATTGGAGACCAATAGGAGCAGGAAGGAACTCTATAGGCCAGGGGGAATATTTGGGAAGGAGGCAATGTCAAATCATTTCCAGCTTCTTGCCAAGGAAACCATAGGGATGTAGACATGTAATGAACTCTGGGTTAAGGTAGATTCATGGGAATCTTTACCTTCTGTATAATAGATGTGTGGCAATCACATTATGCAGCATTTTCTATAGCCCTTTAAAAATATATAATGGATTGTGTGTGTGTGTGTGTGTGTGTGTGTGTGCGCGTGCGTCTTCAAGGCAGCCTTGACTCCTGGCGACTGCCTTGACAAGTCCCTGCAGTTTTATTATCAAAATGTTGGTAGTGGTTTGCCATTGCCTCCTTCTTAGGGCTGAGGCAGAGTGACTGGCTCGAGGTCACCCAGCAGGCTTCATGCCTAAGGCAGAACTAGAACTCACAGTCTCCCAGTTTCTAGCCTGGTGCCTTAACCACTGCATCAAATTAGTCCTCGCATATAATGGATCATTCCATTACAAAGGACAGCTGAAATCAGTGATGTCATTTTTGTTGATGAAGAATTGTTTTAAAAAGCAGAAAAGATGCCTAGAGTATTATGGCTATAGAAGAAAATATATATCCTGTTGGTCTAGTCAATTTAAATACGCTCACTAAGTTCAGCAAGCTGCATTTGATTTCCTGCTGCAACTGCCCAATTTGTCTATTTCAGATACAGTTTGAAAAGTCAGATTAAAAGTTTAGGATATTATTTATTACTGTGTAAAATGCTAGGCTCACATATGTGTGTGTTCTGTCTCTTCCTCTGCTTCTAGAGTTGGAAAGAAGAAAGGACATAAAGACATCACAAAAATGCAACCATATGCTGTTTAGGGGATGAAGCCATTCACTGTTTGAGTAATATTTACACCAGTTGTGGTTCATTCACTTTCTGCTAGAAGACCAGGTGTTTAAGGAAGAAATGTATTGCGGGGCGGATCTTGACAGGCCACACACAGATGCCACTCCAGTTTTATTACGAGACCAAACTATTAGCATTTTGAAAGTGGCTAGTATAAGCAGAGATGAAATCATGGGTAACCTTTTCCTAAAGGGGTTTTGCATTAAAAAAAGAGATTGACAGCTATCCTCAGATTTGATGTTTGGGAGATGCTGCCATCTAGCCATTGTATTATATAAATTAAATTCACATTACTTACCACTTGCTATATGGTCTGTTCTTTAGAGAATCAAACCAAAGAGCCCTTCAGCTTCATTCTTGCTCCAGTTGGAGGCCTTTGAAGGCCCACAAAGAGCCCATGATGCAGATGTCTGAGGTAGCCGTCCCCTGGCGGGAATCTTTGCTAATTACCCCTGATAGTCCAATTCCCTGTAAACACATACACCTATGTGGAAATACAGGTTTTTATCCAGTCCTGCTAACTCTGCAAACTCTTTTAACTTTAAGTGATAAAAGCCGTTGTTTCAAGTTAATTGTAGTTAAAAGTTTTCTGATCGTGAAAAGAGCCTTAATTAAAAAGCAATTAGTCACAGACATTATTTTGAGGTCACAATCTATCCAGTCGCTCTGCTTCTAGACTTTCTCTCAAGCTTCCTATTATCTTCAGTGGAAAGTCTTTAAAATGAATGTAGTCTGTTGCATTCTCCATGGAAACTTTGTTACAAAGCGTGGTAAGACATACTACTTCCCAGGCTCCTAAGAGCCACCCTCCCCTATAATTTTTGCTTCACACAGATGTGCTGCTCAGTCTTCTTCATCGTTTATTCAATGTTTTATGAATGCTAATGAAAAAGGGCCAAATCCAGAGTAGAAGTTTCCGTGAGATTGACAGCACTTGTTTTTACATCTAAAACAGAAAGCTAAGGCTCTTCGTTAAAACAGAACTACTCTCCTTCCCTTGCAATGAGAGTTTGGAGATAGGAAAACAGCCCCTCTCCCGGGAATATACTGCCCTTCTCACTTTGGAGTAATCCAGAACCTGGTGATTTACCTAGGCTGCTTCAGGCATATGAACCAGGATTAATGTCTGTTGTGAGAGCCTGAACTAGGTCTTGGAAGGACACATACATTGAAAACTATGTAGATTATTCCTCCTTGGAGCTAGTATCCAGCACATATGAACACATCTTCCACTGCAGGGATTCGTCCGTGTGATCGAACCAGATGCATCTCAGATACATTATTTACCCAATTTGTACAAGGCGTTGAATTTAATGTTTTATTATTTATTTATTAAACATATTTCTCTGCTGCTGCAATCAAAACGACGCTCGGCAGCTTACATAGAGAAAATACAGTGTAAAACCTACCCAAGACAAACTAAAAACCCAACAGCGATACAAATTTAAAAAAATTAAAAAAAAAAGATGGCAACATCAAATCAAATCAGGGGAAGGCTCTCTGAAAGACCAGCAAAAAGGGGAGTGGTTTGATCTCCACAGGGTTCCATAGTTCCTCCTCGCCTCAACTCCTGAACGTGGAGGTGGGATTTGTAGCAGTTTCTCCCTAGTAGATCTAATTGGTTGGGCCGAAATTGACTAGAGAAGGTGATCCTGCAGGTATCTGGGGGTCAAGCCATGAAGAGTTTTGATAGGTCAAAAGCAACACCTTAAATTGGAGCCAGAAATCAATTGGCAACCAGTGCAGGATTTGCAAAACCAGTGTTATATGCTTGGGCCTCAGAAGCCCAAAAGTATACTGGTTGCTGCATTTTGGACCAATGGTAGTTTCCAAATATTCTTTAAGGGCAGCCCCAAGTACAGCATATTACAGTAGTCTATGTGGGTGGTGATAAGGGCATGAGTTACTGTTGCCAAACAAATCCCAAAAAACCTAATGTATTTTACCCTATGTTAATCTGCTTGTCCCTTTTTTATTTTGATTTATAAATGAGAGAATGAATTTAAACTAACAAAACCATAAGGATAAATAAAAACAAATGTAAGAGGATAACTGAAAACTTTGTTGTATCCTATGTCCTCACAGGGCTAGTTTCCTTTAAGCATGTTCTAGGTTATTTTCTTAGAATGTTTTTTTTTCTTTACATAGAATTTCTACACCTTTTAACTCCTCTACCTGTGATAAATAAATCTTGTAGGAAGTATTTTATCCACAATAGTTTAAAAATGTAGATTCCTTATCTCAGGATATAATTTGAGATACCTAGTAAAGGATGGACCCAGTCTGCCTAATTATCATTAATTGGGGATACCAGTAATTAATATTTTACATGTGTTAGACTATCTGTATATTTTTACTTATTTACTAAACTTCTACCTGAGTTAGGTTAACAGAAAATGAAGGAAATATTCAGAGAATTAAATTTCAGGCCTTTGAATTGTAATCAAAGATCACACACATGTAAACATGCTGTTTAAACAATCCACAACATACTCTAGAATACTTGAGATTTTTGTTGTGGTAGCATGTTTGTTTGGCTAGCCTGAGTGCTTAATGCTGAAAGATAACTTTCAGACCGCCATGATTTAAAGTAATACAGTATAGTAAATTACATTTCTGAACTATCAGTTGGTTCACTTTGATTATGAGTAGATAAGTAAGTCATTTAAGGGTAAGGGAAGAATCTTGTATTATCTAGATGAAGAAGAGGATTCTTCTCAAGATCCCTGATATATTCACATCTTGGCAGCAAGTGTGCCTGTCCTTCAACTCACCGAGCTGAACAGAAACCAGCAATCACATTGGAGAGGGCATTTTTAGGAGAATAGAAATAGTTATGTTTTTATAGCTTGCAAAGGGTTCAAAAACAGATTAGTGAAAGTGAAGTTCCTTGATCGCTATGGAAGAATAGCCCATACTTAAACTGTGCTTGGTGATTCAGATTTCTTGCTGTTTGGTTAATTCTGTTGGTTTGTTTGTTTTTTTCAGATCAGAGATCTTAAAGTGTCCAGTTCCTTCACAAGGTAACTCAGAACAGAAGACAAATGCAGCTGTGGAAGGACAAGATATCTTATCACTTATACAGCAAGATAGAAGTTCACCAACTGGTGGTGCAGGAATATTGGAAAATGGTAGGAAGGTGACAAAAATCTTCGGCTCTTATAGAGCTCTTTAGGGGGGGAAAACCTCTAAATGTCAAGGGTGAGGATTCTGCCCAAAGAAAACCTCAGGTGGTACAAGTAAATGTCCACTAACCCCTCAAGAGTTTCTTCAGAATATGTTGACTATGTTTTTAATGTCCTCGTGCTATTATGGAAAACTTGGAAATGGTGATGTTTCTTTCTTTCAAATGATTGTACAGCATTGAACATATGTTGCCTCAGCCAGTACTATAAACACAACAATGTGGGAAGACTTTCTAATAGGGAGGCGTGCACTATAGTGCTAATTTTTACTCATGTATTTGGATTCATTTAATCTTCCCTTTGTAGCAGAACTAGAAAGACATAAACATAGTTTCTGGGTGAATTATTTTTATCACAAATTGAAAAGGCACAGCAGTTTTGTTTTCCTGGGCCTGCAAGCATAGAATCCCCTGCAAATGTGGATCAGCCATTACATGATAAAAAGGGACAGTCAACTGAACTTAAATGGAAGAGTTTTACATGGGTCTTTTAAATGGGGCAGTGTTTCCTCTATTGTGTTCCTGTTTGCTCTTTGTTCCTGCTTTAAAAATGGTGAGATTTAAGTGAGTGAGGATAATCAGTTAATCATTTCTGTACATTTGATCTTACAGTAAACACTGTAGACCATTTCCTGTTCCAGAAGACTTACTTCTGGAAAACTACTAGATCACTCCCTGGAATGGCTGGACTAGCACATTCTGGAAGAAAAGTGGAACAAATGTTCCATTTCCAGAACAGGATTTTTTCACACAACTAGAATAACACTGTTACTGAAGTCTTCTGCACAGAAATGTTTGGAATGTTGGCTTTTGTTTCTGTAGAATGAAATCCCAGGCCTGTAGTTTATCCTCCAAGATTATAAAAAAATGTACTCAGACATGAAGTCATAAAGTTGGAGTTTTTCAAACTGATTTAAATTTGACTTTTTCACTTTTTCTGAGTTAAATTTGTCCTTCATCAATCTTTTTTTTTTTTTATGTCATTTCTATGGTGCCTCATCATAAGACTCTGGGCGGCTTATAAAAATAAAAAAAAACAGAAAAATGATAAACAACATAGTAGTGAAAACTATGAAAATGTAATAAATACAACTAATAAAAAAATATAGTGATAGCAGCCCCCACTGTACATTATGACCCAAAGCCTGATGAAAGAGGATAATCTTTCTCCTGAAGATTAACAGGGAGGGGGCCCTTCCTTACATTGAAGGGCAAGCTGTGTTTGTCCAGCTTCTTGGTTCTCTTCCTACTTAGTTGGAAGTGGGAATCCTGCAGCTTGCTTCCCTAGCTCAAATGTATAGCACAGGAAGATTCAGCATGAAGAAAATAGTCCCCAGGATAACTGGGATAACTATTCCAGAAGAGTGTGGCCAAAAACTCAAGCTCTCTTCCACTATCATCACATTAGGTAACCATCTACTTGGGAAGCAGTGGAACCACAGTAAAATAGTGCCTTCAGCCCCCAGTCCTCACAATGTTATCAAAGACTGCTGATAAACCTACCTGGACCAGAAGGGATGTACTCTCCCAGTCAAGGTCCAGGCATAGGTCATGCACAAGAATGATAAGTGCAGTTTATGTCCTATGTTTGGCCTGAAATCTGACTGACAGGGATCTAGATAACCAGTTTCTTCCAAGACTTTCTGAGGCCCTGTTATCTACTCCGAAATCTTCTCCCAAAAGAGAATGTTGGAGATGAAGCAGAAATTAGCCAATACTGCTGGGTTAAGTGATGGCCCGTTAAACAAAGCTATTGGATGGCATTCTCCCACAACAGTGTAGGCTCACATATAGATTTGTACCCATGATCATGTTTGCTCATCATGATTATTGCATTTCTCTCTTCTGCTTCTGCATCTTCTAAATATCCTTGGTGAACCTATTAGCACCCCTTGATCAACAGACAAAGAGGATGCTTGAGGCTATCACATCCAGTGCTCTTTCTGGGTTTGAATTCCAGAGGTTAATGAAGTATGCAGTGGAATTACCTATATCATTAGGAAAATCCACACGTACCTGCAGATTCTTTCACCTGGGACAGACCATTCTAATTGCTCCTACCACTCTGCAGAGGTCAGATGAAAAGTGATTTCACAATGGCAAATTATGGATGGAAATGTCTTCCATTTTCAGCTCACAAACTGACTTCTCTGAGTTGGGCCAGGTATGACCTGGAATAAGCCATGACTGTTACCATGGCCATGAGATCCTGGACCACTCCTTATCCTTCCCCTGGGCATGGAGTTCTCAAGTAATTGCGTATCTTACCCCAACTCAACCTGACCTCTGTATTCCACAAAGTGACTGAAGTAGAACCTTTTCCCAAAATAGTGTTAGGGTAGCTGGGATGTAATGGAGTGTATAGAAGAATCTAGTGATAGTGAGCACATGCAACTGAGTATTTATCACAAGTGTCTCCTATTGCCATGGGTTGAAATACAACCCCCAGGTATTCCAGTTGGGTCACCTGCTCAATGTGGCATCTGTAAGATGTTTTTTTTTAATCTTACTTTAGGGCTTTTGTAATTCACTAACAGCTGTTCAACATTCTTATTCCTACCAGGGATAGTGAGAGAATGAGAACATCCACACATAGCCAAAGATATAAAGGCTTGTTTGCAAGCATGGGATGACTCATAAACTACTTTATTATATGCTTTTTTCTCAGTGCTTTGTAGCTTTTGAGGTTAAATGAACTGACTTAATTATTAATAATTTAATTGCAAAGCAGTATAGCAATGACTAAGTACATCTGTCTCTTTTAGGACCAGCTTTTGTTTAGTATATAAGATACATAGTTTTTCCTGTGGGCTTTCTTTTATATACTAACATTAAAAAAAAATAATTAGATAAGACAGAGTTTGGTTTTAAAAGTCAGAGACTTTAAAAATTAGAGATTTAAGAATACATGCTTCTAACAAACATCTAAGACATATATGACCAAGCATATGACCAAAGTTTCCTTTAAAAGATCATGAGCAAAGACAAAAAAGAAATAGGGTAGATCCACTTATTTTCTTATGCCTTCCTGTATGCACTCCCTACAACTTCACAAGGAGCTTTGGTCTTAGATCATTCACTTCTTTAAGGCTCGTCTTTCGTTTCAGACCTGGGTGCATCTGGGTACCAGCATCCATCAGCGTAACTGAAAGAGACCAGAAATGCTATCTCTGCTGTTGAGTCAAATAACCACCAGATTTAAGCTTAAGGTTTGATGTGGTTTGAACCAGCTCCAAGGCTAGTGCAAAAGCAACATTTAAAAGAGACAATACCACCCCCCCAATCCCCTGTTGTTTTGCTTATTAATATATTTCACAAATCCCATAGTGATTGTGATTCTTACAATTGGGTAGATACAGCATCTGCTTATTAACGAATCATCTGGGACAAATGATTACGTTCAAAGGAAAGCCTTGAAGTTGAAAGCTCATACAAAGAACACGGATATTTGAGACAACCGTGTGAACTTACGTTGGGAAATAAGCGTTTTACTAATAGTGGATTGTCTATTTCGCATAATTAGAGCTAACAACCCACCACCCCTCCCCGCCCCACTGCTGTTATTGTAGAGGAGAAGGACAACTTTTTTCACAAGACCTTCTTTCTAAGCTTGTCATCTGATTGGCATTTTCTTTATTTTTGGTTTTACCACAGTGCCCTCTGCTGGACCAAATGGAAACCATTCAACCATTGTTGCAGCATTAGAAGCAACAATGTTTGTAGAGCAATATTAGAAGTCCCACTTGCAAATTGTACTTCTTGCTAGCAGAGGGTTGTGTCCTTTCACCCTCTTCTCAAATACCTAACCCAGAGCTGACGCAAAATAACATGTCTTCTGATTCAGTCCCTTATATGCTTTCTCAGAAGGAAGACCCAATTTTTCTTAGGAATAAAATACTGGCTTCTGGTTAGAGAGAGATGCCTGATTTTAAAGAGACATCAAAAGAAAATACTAAGCCAGCCAGCTTAGGCAGAAACAGTAGGAATTTAAGCAGCAGCCGATGAACCCATTCTTTTGGCAGCAATTCATCTGTGCGGAGAAATGCGCTTTATTCCCCTAGTGACACATACAGCGATTAACTGAAAAACCTAACACCTTGGCTTGCAAAATAGCTACTTGCAACAAATGTGTGAAAAATAGCCAGCAGCAGTCTTTACAAATGCAGTTTGTAAAGAAATTTGTGTCAATAAAACAGACAATCATCTAAATTATTCAGCCAATATCACTCTCCCTTGCAAACGTACTCTGGAAATGTGATTAAAAAGACTGCCTTAGCCTAAAGCTCTTCATTTTCTCTAGGTGAGAGTTTCAAGTACATGGTATCAGTGCAAAAATAAATCTCCTCTGCCTACATGCCATAAACAGCTAGTAGACAGGACATGTCCTGCAACAACTTTTCTCCCTGAACTTGAGACTCCTCCATGATTTTGCCCCCATCGTCCCTCCATTCTTATATCAGACCCTTTCCTACCTTTGCCTTTGGCTGGCATCTCCACCATCCTCCCTCCTCTGAAATAGCTCAGCCTTCCAATAGAAGAGAATATCTGTAGCTCAGGGTTGGAGTCCTTGGTGCTCTCTGAGCTTGGTTGTTTCCTTGCAGATGTTTCATTACCCGACTAGGTAATATCATCAGTGCTGGTGAGTGTGGTGTTTGCTCCCTGTTTATATACAGTGGCTTGCCCTGCCAGTGTTGGTGGAGGGTGGTTTTCTCCTTTGTAGTTCCTTGATTAGGGTATTGTTTTCTGCTTGATAGTTTGTCTGGTGCTTAGCTCAGCCTTTTCTTTGTGTGTGTGTGTGTGTGTGCGCCTTCAAGTCATTGTTGACTAGTCTCCGCAGTTTTCTTTGACAAAATTTTGGAAGTGATTTGCCATTGCCTGCTTCCTAGGGCTGAGAGAAAGTGACTGGCCCAAGGTCACTGAGCTGACTTTGTGCCTAAGATGGGAGTAGAACTCCCAGTCTCCTGGTTTCTAGCTTGGTGCCTTAACCGCTACAACAAAGTGGCTCTCACTTTTCTCCTTTGCTCCCCCCTTTATTGAAACTGCCTTCATAAAGGCTCTCTCCATTCCTTCCTTTTTCCATTAAGCCTCTGCTAATCCCCAGGTCTTCCTGTAACAGTGGGACTGCTTCTGCACAAGATGCTGCTCATGCAATTGTGCAACTTCAAAAACACAATTTAATGAAAGTTCCAGATATAATTTATTTCCATTTTTTAATATACTACTTTCCCCATTTTTTCTTTACACACAAATCTGTTCAAGAGGAAAGCACAAGACAATCCTCTGTATGCAGTGGTGGGTTACACTGTTGGGGATTAGCAAGGTTTAATAAAGTTACTATATATAACAGTTGTACAATTAGCTATTGAGCATCTTCTTCTATCAATAAATGTTAAGCTCCTTAAGGAAGGGAACTTTCTTCTTTACAGAGGACTATACATAGATATGATGCAAAGCATGTCTTTAAAGAAAACTCACAGATTTGGGGATCATATTACCCAATTCTAAGTTCTACAGCTATGGAAACAAGCATATATGTGGATAAACTACATAATTTGACATAGATTGAAATATTGCCTAATTTGCCTGTTTATGAGGAGGATGAGTTCAAGGTTGAGTTACTTATGATTTGAGAAAAATGTAGGCAAATATATTCCCAAAAGAAGGAGAGAAATAGTGCGAGGCGATTGAGGTAGGATCATCATGGGTAGGGCTGCAGTCTGTGCTTAATGGAAAAAAAATACATTCACAACTAATGAACATGTTCTCAGGATATTCTCTCTTTTTAATCTGTAGGAGAAAATGACATACCATATATAAGCTGACTCTCAAATTTTTAACCAAAATACTATGAAAAATGTACCACCCCCAGATACGCTGACCTACATTTTTCATGGTATTTTGGTTAAAAATTTGAGAGTTGGCTTATCCGTGGATGGGCTTATATGCAAAGATATACAGGATATATGGGTACTTTTAAAAAGTATTACCATATATACTCATAGATGAGCCCATCCATAGATAAACTGAACCCAATTTGGGGGGTCTATTTTGGCACCTAAAATTCTCAGCTTATCTGTGAGTATATATGGTATATCTGGCACGTTGTGTGTGTGTTAAGGTAGCAGATGATGGAGGACGATGTCCTCTTGTTTGGCGGTGAATGACTGTAGTGTTTAAACTAATTATTCTGAAAATTGTTCTTTCTTAAACTGAGTTCCACAAAAAATATTGCTACTTGAGTAAGATAGTTGTAGTGATTATCGTATTTGGGGAGTTATTGTTGTTCTTTGTTTCCAGTGGAAGATCAGATGTTTCGTTCTGTGGAAGGCCAGGCTGCGTCTGATGAAGAGGAAGAGAAATGGATAGGAGACCAGCAATCCCAAATGGCTGAAGTGAAGAAACTCCTAGCTAGTTTTCCTTGTTGCAGTAGTGGGTATGTCTCAGTGTGCATGTGAAATCATATTTCTAACTTTTGTTCTTGCTAACCTTTCTGAAAATGTTATTGTGTGATGTAACAAAATGTTACAAGTAAAGTAGCTTTGGAATATGTGATATGTTTATACAGGTGGTCCTCGTTCAGCAACCACTTGTTCAGCGACTGTTCAAAGTTATGACGGTGCTGAATGAGGGGACTTACGACCATTACTTGCAGTTGCGGCCATTGCAGCATCCCTGCAGTCACATGATCACAATTTGGGCACTTGACAACCAGCTTGCAATTATGACAGTTGCAGCGTCCCACAGTCACATGATCGCCATTTACAACCTTCACTGCTGGCTTCCAACAAGCAAAGCCAATGGGGAAGCTGGCAGGAAATCACAAATGGCAATCATGTGACCTCAGGACGCTGCAACTGCATGGGATTCACCTAACAACAGTAACTGGGACTGCCAGAACTGCCATCATAAGTCAGTGTGGTCACATGACATTGCACTTTACGACCATGTAGCTTAACGATGGACTCGCTGGTCCCAATTACCATTGTTAAGTGAGGACTACCTGCATAGAGCAGTCATTAGTAATTGTCCCCCCCCCCTTTTTTTTTTTGTGCCTTCAAGTCAGTGTTGACTCCTGGCAACTGCCTGGACTAGTCCCTGCAGTTTTCTTGGTAAGATTTTGGAAGTGGTTTGCCATTGCCTCCTTCCTAGGACAGAGAGAATGACTGGCCAAGGTCACCCAGCTGGCTTTGTGCCTGAGGCAGGACTAGCACTCAGGGTCTCCCAGTCTCTAGCCTGATGCCTTAACCACTAGACCAAGCTGGCTTTCTAATTGTCCCCTACAGTCTGTTAACTGAACCATCTGATTCAGAAAAAAATATGCTAGGGATGAGGATAAAGCTTCCCGCATTGCCTTCTCTGGCATCTAAAGAGTTCAGATGATAAATGCAACTACCGGGATTCAGCACCAGTGAGAAATGCCAAAGACTATAATCTCAGAGAGCATAACAGGCCTATCAGAGCAGAACTACACATTGTGAACCAAGATGACTTGATGGCTTCTGTTGCAGTCTCTAATGCAACTGAAGGTATGAACATTGGTTTAAACCTTAAAAAACAGCTTGTTGATTTGCCATGTTGATGAATGGTTGCTATAGAAACTTGATAGACATTGCTCCATGAGGGGAGCTGGAGCTTTCTGGGAGTACACTTACAGTCCCAAGTTGATGCTCTTATCCTAGTCAAAACATCCTTTTAGAGATGCACATCTCTAAACTCCATGGTTGTAACAATTTTAAATTAGTGCCATCATAGTTCCAAGTCATAAAAATAAAGCAAATAGTAGTAGTAGTAGTAGTAGTAGTAATAACATCAGTCTATTGCAAAAGGCAGCTTTACTTGGAACAGTTTACATCCTGCAACAATACCTTTAACACCATTAAACCACAACATCTGCCTATCCCAGGTCCTTGGGAAGGACTCAATAGGTGGATAAATCCAGTCTAAACAACTGGCTGATTGTGAAACCACTACCACCACTGATGATGATGATGATGATGATGATGTCTTTCTTATACAGGTGAATCATGTACCCTGAGTTGCTATATAATGTTTAGCAAATGGTTTTACCTCCTAATATGTTAAAGTTGCATATCATTAGACTACTTGAATCAAGGAAAACTCAGTCAGCAGAAATTCTCTCTCTCTAGATGTGATGACACAACCATGAAGCAGCTGAGATCACCCTTCGGAAATGCCAGTAGCAGTGGCCATGAAGACTCCCTTGTGAAATTAGTCCAGCGACTCTCAAAGTTAAAAGAAGACTTTGAGATGAAAGGGCAGGAAGAGAAGGCCCTGGAAACAAATATGGAAGAGGTAAGTTCATCTTGTATTCTGTCTTTTCAGGAGGTGTGTTACTTCCAATTTGTTGGGCTGCTTATCTCAGAATTTCTTTTTCTTATCAGACCTGCTTAAATTTGGTCAAAAGCCACTTTCATTGATATCACCTGCACATTTTAGGACAAGAAGTTTCAGCTGTTGATAATGTTCATCTTCCATCCTCTGAAAGCTCAATTCTTACACAGTTCTTTAATTCAAAGATACTGCCGGTGCATAATTCCATGGACTCTTGTACAGTAATCTATTTACTTACTATCTCTTTATCAGCAAGCCTCTAAAAATCCAATTATGTCCTGTTAAAATATGGGACCAGTGTACCTCCATATGTTATCAGATCGCAACTACTAATCAGCTCCAGCTAGTGTAGTCAGGGATAGCGGGACTTTTAATTTGACAACACCTGGATGGACATAGGCTACCCATCTTGGTCTTATACCACACTTTGTAGGCTTGTGGCTCATACTGTGTATTTATTGCAAGTGTAACTTTCTATGTAAATACAAATAAATACATATTTCATTGTAGGAGGAGTATGTTCCTTTCTTCCACTGCAAATTTCACCTTTTCGATTTAAGCTGTTAATATTTCTGAAAATGGAAATCGGATGCATGAGTAGAATTAGCAATTTCCCAATTGCCACTTTAGACCTTCCCTTCCTTTCTTTAGTATTTTATCCATTCTATGCTGTTAGGAGGCATGGTTCATATCCTGAGGAAATCGGAATTACTTCATTTGCCAAGTGGTAAACCTTTTTACACTTCCAGAAATAACTTCTAAACACCTCTAGATCTCTGAGCTTCTGAGACCTGAATAGAAATTATTATAGAATATAGTTTATAATATATAAGAATATATTATAGATAGAAATTAGAGCGCCAGTTTGGTGTAGTGGTTAAGGCACCAGGACAGAAAGCAGAAGACTGTGAGTTCTAGTCCTGCCTTGGGCATGAAAGCCGGCTGGGGGACCTTGGGCCAGTCACTCTCTCTCAGCCCAACTCACCTCACAGGGTTGTTGCTGTGGGGAAAATAGGAAGAGGAGGAAGGAGTATTTGGTATGTTCACCGCCTTGGGTTATTTATAAAAATAATAAAGGTGGGATAAAAAAAATCTAAATACTGTGTTCCTTATACACGAGTATTTTGGGTTAATTCTGCACCTAAGTGGTATGGCAGGCTTAGTTGTACATTTAACACCAACTCTTATAAAGAAGTATAAAGAAAAGAAGCAAAGTAGAAGTCATTTCAGCTCCAGGCAAATCAAGAATAATGGGCATCTGAAAGGATCAATAATTGATCCAATCTTTTTCATCTTCTATGATTCTACAAAAGCCCAAAGATGAAAAAGGCTGTTCGCTTTGCTTCCCTTTTAAGTGCATTCCAATAAAGAGCTGCAGTTAGACAGCTATTTTGCAAAGAAAGTTTAATGAAGGTGTCAGATAACAGATGACATATTGAAGAAAACATTAGTAAACTCTAAAGATAAGTAGATATTTTACTAAGCCTGGAATTACAAAATGTTGCTGGCAGCATAGACATCTGACTTTTGCTAGAGTATAGTTATTCATTGCCCAAGAAATGTGCCTTATCTATAAGGAATTAACTGTAAACATGCATTTTCTAGTGAATTAAATACATGAACACTGGAACAGCTTTTACAAGGATTTAGATGATCTTAATATAGACAAGGGATTGGTTGAGACCTAATGATAATATAGTACATTTAAAACCAGCCTGTAGTGTTACATATATTCCAAAAGAGTTTTAAAGTTGGATAATAACAGCCTATACAGTAATTGTAGCACATTTACGGTGTTGATCAGGAAAACAATTGAGGCTGCATTAGTAGCAAACCCACTGTAATAAGATCCTGGGAACCTTTTGCAGAATTTCTCCACTGGTTTTGTTATTTGTGCAAAATGCAGGTACCCGATGAGCTCACAATTACGGGATACTTGCTCAAAATCTTCTTGTTGCATTCATTTCTCTAACAAAGAAAAAATGGGCTGAAATAAATAGAACACTCTGGAATAGCATTGCAGGAAAGTGACAAATTTCAGTCTTACTTTGGATGTAGGCATGTGCATTATACAGGGAGCCAGCGCTGATTATTACAAGAATGCTGTTAGCCGGGAAGGCAGGAACAAGATGGTGCAGTGAAAGTAATCTACTGCAGCTTCACAGTTGTCTCAGGAAAGAAAAATAATTTCTAAAGCAGGCTGCTGATCAGATGGTGGTAATGTGATTGCTGACAAGAACAGGCAGTTATTTATGTGCTTTTTTGCTACAAAAGGAGCATGGATATAGGAATTTAAGTAACATATTTAATAGTTAGGAGAGCTATGTCATCTTTCCATACTGCAGACTGATCTGGAAGTCAGAAGATGATTTTATTTCAAAGTAACAGAACTAAGTTAACTTTCAGCTGATGCTGTCATATAGCCAATTAAAATATATTATACTGTAGCTCTGAAAGAAATACAGGAGCTAGGTTAGAGAAAGGATCCTAGATTATTGCACAGTTTATTCAGATAACATATGCTGTTCAGTTACAAAATATTGATTATGGTAATATTTCCTACCAATTTTAAAGCCATCTTTAGAAATCAACAGCAGCCTTTCTTTTCAGTTCCCTCTCAAGGGACTCCAGCTATGGCTGGAACTGCAATAAAAATGAACAATGCTTACAAAAAGGGATTAACAAGGACTAGAAAATGTAAAATGCATCCCTCCGGAAGTTTTGTTTTAAACTGCAGTAAAAAATCAATGGATTAGACTTCTGTTTTGTTACAAGCAATTGCAGAGAGTGATAATATTTAAGGATGCAGCAAGGATTCTCATTGCTTATTACAGCAAATCAGAATGAGATTTAGTCTGAATTGTTAACGTGTAAGCAGGGATTCAGACAGCAAATCAATGTTTAAGCTAGGCAATCTTCCTGCTTGGCAGGCTATAATATCTCAGGCAACACATCAATAGAATCCTAATCTATAGGATGTTCTTTCTTGCATTAATCCCAGTAATTCCATCATGCCATGTATGAATTGTAAAGGACTTTCGAAGTCATCTCACCCACCCCTTGTTCAGTGCAGGAATGGCCAGGTCATTCTGTGATTTTGTCCTTTAAGGACGAATTCCCCATCTTAGTGTCATCTGCACATCTAATCAGCGTGCTTTCCATGCCATCTTTTAGGACATTCATGAAGATGTTGTCCATGGCTTTGGAACAAATCAAACTAAAAGCCCAAGTGGGGCAATAATTGCATAAAGCCAACACATAAGAACTAAAATAAGTATGTGCAGTAGGTTCAGTATGCCTTCACCATCATGCAACGGATGTGAGTTGGAGCCAACTTAGTGGGATTTATTCACATGATATACTCCAAGCCTTGTGAATATATTGACATTTTAGACATTTCCACGTTTAAAATTTCCCCCTAGTAAGTAAAGCTGCTTAATATTACAGTAATCAGAATCCATTAATTATAATCCAGATTACAGTCATTCACAGACAAAATCCCTGTTATATTATTTAGTCAATTTATTAGCCATCTCAGTTGCTGAATATTAGAGTATAACTAGATTCTGAAATACGTGCATTGTCAAGAAAAGAAAAAAAAACACATAAAAGTACTTTTTTAAAAAAGTGAAAATAACTTTTTCTTTTTTTTTCATTGTTAAAAACAATAAAAATAAATAAAAAAGAATCTAATTAGATTCTGTGCAGTGTACAGTGCTCAGAAATTTTGTATCTCTCTTTGTAATCTTTGTATTAGTTGACTCCAAATGTTAATATTGCTGTAAGTTAAGCTTATCAGATACCTGACATCATTTTGACCCATTTCCATATTTTTAACTAATTGATAAAATCAATACAGAATATGAAGTAAATGCGAAACTGGGTTGTTTGGAAACTAATTATGGCCTGATTTCCATTTCAGGAAATCAAAATAATTTGCTCTGTGTTTTTGTGCAAATCCTGTAATTTTTTTATCTTGGTTTCCTTTATTAAACAGAGAGACTAGTGTTGCTTCCACATTAGCCCTGTTTTCTGGAATTGCCATCCTTTTGTTCAGTCTTTATGGAGCATCTGGACAATTCCATCCATTACTTTCTAACATCTTCTGCACTGTTCTGCCCTTACAGAAGGAGGATTAGTCATGAATAACATCTTCATTGTTCTTTAAATAACATCTCTTCACTGCCTCAACATTTTGTGTTCCAAAGTGGAGTTATTGGGGCTTTAATTACTGGGTTCCCCTAATTATTTTTCTTATCTATCTATCTATCTATCTTCAAATAGCAGACTAGCATATTTCACTATTTAAAAAAAAAGAAAAGAAAATAATGTCAGGAAACTATGGATTCAAGCCCCTCCTCTCACAGGCACAGAAACTGTCATTGGGATAGCCAAAAGAGGTTATTTAAGGAGCGGTTAGTAGGCAGTGCATCACTATTCTTCCTCTTACTCCTTTCGAAGCATCAAGAAGCATTAACATGGGCTGAATGTAAAAGGGGGAAACTTGCAATCAACATTGCTGAGAAGTTTGCTGAAGAGGGCATATTTATAAGCAAACATTTATAACTAGGGGAAAACTTCGTGATGGCTGGGATGATGGGAGCTGAATATCTGGAGGGTCACAGGTTTCTTAAGATAACCAGGATGACTTTAACCATGTGAAGAAACATCACTGAATAATGCATTGATTTCTTAGATAATTGGGTGGAATCTCTATTTTAATTTTATTTTTAGTATTCTAATATGGTATCAACCTACTACATCCATCTTATTCATTTTCCTGTGACTACAAACTGTAGTAAAGATGCTACCTTGTAACTAAGGAATTAATACTTCAAATTATGATTAGGATAGCATTGGTAAGGCATGCTGTTTTTTATCTGTTACAAATTAAGTTGAATTCTGATGTTCTCCAAGTCAATAGAAATATACAGAAAAGGAAGGAAACCTTTGATTGCAATGATTACCTGTTTAAAAATTCACAAGATTGTTCAAACTCTCCATCCTGAAGATCACTGCATTATAAGCCATTTAGCTAAATGGAACTTAAGATTTGCATCTCTCTTGTGAGATTAAACCATATTCCTGAAGGAATGGTATATGTTGGTGACGAAGAAAGATTCTTGGAATCATCTGGTAAGAATTTTCAAACAAAGAAATACTTGACTGTGTTCTTAAGGTTAACCTTGTGTCAGCCTTATGCACTATACCTTGTAACCAATTTTTAAATCATAATTACTTGGGCATGCAAACAGAGTGAAGCAAATATTTTCTCTTCTGCTTCATAGAATTAGAGTTGAAAGGGACCATTTATGTGTTGGACTCCAACCCAGTGGTCCAAATCAAAGCATCCCTGACAAATGGCTTCCCAGCCACAGCTTGATCGTATAAAATGAAAGGGAAGCCCGCTTCCTCTCTGAATAATTGGTTCCATATTCAAACTGATCTTAGTGTTAGGAAATTTTTCTAACATTTGGTAGGAATCTGCTTTTCTGTAACCTACATTTATTACTCTGTTTATTGCATTTTGGGCTGGTAGAGAACAGGCCTTGGCCTGTGACACATTAAGTGATGCATTTGAAGTAATCAAAGGTTTTTCACAGAAGTGCAGGTTGGTCTGCATTTAATAAGGTTATTCTGAAACAGTCATGGTTGAAGGAGAATTATTTTATTATTGCTTCAACAGGAACTCCAGATTTATAGGGGCAATGAAGCTGTGGAATAGAATTAATGGTAGAAGGCAATTCTGGGTATATTGCTTTCCTTGGAAATTATACGTGCATGTAGAAAATATATTTGGAATAGCAACATTTAAAATCCCCAGTTGATCCTAACTACATTAAGTAGTCAGCAAGATACCAATAAAATAGGAAATTACATATTTGTGCACACATCCTACTGACTATATTTTTCACTGACACATTCCATTTAGTAAAATTAATTTGAAAACAGACTTCTGAGGCATCCACCACAGATACAGGCAGAGAAGTCAGACCTTATTTTTGTGCTGCACAATACTTTTCATGTCATCTGTTGTTGTCCAGACAAAAGTCCCATTGCTAGGGGAACTACAGCAGAAGGCAGAGGAGTCTGAATTGATGAAGATGGAATTCCAGATGTTGGAGACAGAGAGAGTAAGGCTGTCACTGGTGGAAGAAAAGCTCTTGGATGTTTTACAGCTGCTTCAGCAACTCCGGGACCTGGTATGGCAAAAAAAAAAAAAATAGTGGGAACAGCAACAAGCTTTGATGCCGCTGCTTAGTATGGATGGACAACCTCTGTAGCTTTCTGCAAGGTCTTCAGTAGGCAGACCTTATCTACTATCACACAGGATTGCTGCAAAAAAGCTCTGTTGTAGAAAGCTGTATTAGAAAAGGAAAACCAAAACATCCAGGTGAATAACTTTCCATCAGAGAGATTTCAGGTGCTCTGCAATTTAGAGCTAGGATGGTTTCACACTTGTTTAAAGTAGCTGTTAATATTTTTCCCATTGAGAGCATTTGACTTTGTATAGAATTACTGTAAGAGCTTCTGATCCAAATCTTACCTCTGCCATGAATTCTCTTGGTGACCTTGGGCAAATCATTCTCTCTCATATTGCTGCAATATGGAGCACAATAATACTATCTTTTTAATATGGGCTATTTTAAGGCTACAGTTAGATTATATAAATGAAGAAAATGCTGTTCAGTGGTTAAATATGATAAATGAGCAAAAAAGAAACAGGGCAGAAAAAAATAGTCATAGAATTATTTCATGCACACACGCGCACACACACTTCATACCTGGCTTGTAAATTAGCAACAGAAGACTCAGCTTTTTTCTTTTTTCTTTTTAAAAAACAAAAATAGCTTTGCTATTAGCATTCCTAAGTTAATAGGCTTGTCTAACTGCACACATGTAAAACAAAAGGGTGGTAGCATTCTACTTTCTAGTTCCAGATTTAGTTAATTTAAGTCTAAGAGAAAAGTTTCCTAAGTTTATGAAACAAACCAAATCTAGCTATGAGCAATTTTCATTCTGATCAATCTATTTTTAAATAAATACAGGTAGTCCTCGACTTATGACCATTCGTCACGTGATTGCCATTTGTGACCTTCCTTGCTGGCTTTCCACAAGCAAAATCAATGGGAAAGCCAGCAGGTAAGGTTGCAAGTTGCTTTGGTAAGTCTCTCCTGCCACTCCCAAGGAGCCTGCTATGAGTACTCTATAGCACACCTCCCCACCTGCCCTCTATAGTCCACATGCCTGCTGCACTCCCGTCTTGCCTCTGGCCTCTACCAACCTATGCACAGCCTCTGCGGCCCTTCCAAGGCCTCCACCAACCCACCTGCACTCCCATGCTCCTTGCTTGGGATTCCTGTCTCTTCCCACTTAATGACACATGTCCTGGGGTTACGACAGCAACCAGGACTGCCAGGATTGCCATCACTAAAAGATGATGTCATGCTTTACAACCGCATCACTTAGTGATGGCAATCCTAGTCCCAATTGCCGTTGTAACCTGAGGACCCTTGTCCCAATTGCCGTTGTAACCTGTACATAATTCTTGTATGTACTAGAAAATACAATGCACACCATTCAAATAAAAGAGATGTTGTTAAAGAAAAGTACATGATCTTTAACTGATAGGGTATTGTTATAGTTTTTTCCCATTTTTAAAAAAAATATAAGTATGTAGGTAGATAAACTGATACGTGAAAGAGGCAGGCTTATTACCCTTCCAGACCTGGAAATATAGACACCCAGACTACACTTTGGCATTATATAAACCAAGATTGAATGTGACCTGAATACATAATCAGTATACTTCATATAATGACCTGCAAAGTAGTCTCTAGATTAGAGATCTCTATCTGGGATAGAATAGTGTGATCATGCTTATGACTTTCCAGTTGTCACATACTGGCCCAAATGTGCCCAAATTACCAGTACTATTCTTACCATTAGCAAGGAATGGTGCATGTGATACAGGTACAACTAATACTGGTAACCTCCTCTACATCTTCTCTATTTTATTAAAAAGCATTATGTGAAAACCTCAACTGACCAATTGGTAACAGAAGTCAGTATCTATGGGACCATCTGGTGACAACCTTGTCATGTGGAAATTGTGACTTGGATAGTAAGAGGAATAAATGATAAAGAGCATGAATTAACAAATGAAATGAAAGAAAAAGAGATACATTGTACAACTGTGAAACTAAAAGAAAAGTGAAAGATGTAATAGAAATGTATAAAAACAGTATCAGCTTATAGGGTGGAAAATAAAGAGGTAAGTTTAATTATGAATCAAAAGGCTAAAATGTATGCCAAAAATTTGAACTGGTGTAATTTAGGTCCTATGGGGTATGTATGAAAGTGGTAATTCACAGATTGGTGATAGTTGCATGTGCGATTCTCCAAATAGGGTGCACTATTCTCATGATGCTTCGGAAGGCCTCAGAAGATTTCCAAAGGCTTTCTGAAGCATCTCAAGAACGGTGCACACTATTTGGAGAGTGGTGTGTGCTATTTGGAGAATGGCATGAACAGCCTCAAAAAAAATGTCTCACATAGAGCTAGCAGCTGCCTCTCATAAGGCCAGGCTGGTGCACCTCATCAGCAGTGGGAGGAAGATGGCGAAGGTCAGCTGGGCACAGCAGGGCCTGCAGAGCATAGGGTGGTTGGGGTGTCTGGGGCTTTGCTCTGTGGTGCTGGGGTGGTTGGCCACAGTGCAGGGCTTGAGGCAGCACTCCTCAGCGCTGGGGCTGAAATAGAGGCCCAGGGACAGTGGTGGATAGTTGAGACTGTTGAAGGGCTGGGCCTCTACTTCAGCCCCAGTGGAAATTCTGGTCCCAATTACCATCGTAATTTGAGGACTACCTGTAGATAGAGAAAGTCATTGGACGAAGATGGTGAGAAATGAGAAATTTACAAAACAAACTGTAGTGGGTATGAAGAAGTGGTGGACATGGTGGAAGTGAGGAAAGAAATGTAAGGAGAGGTATAATGAATGGTGCTGTTAAAAACTAATTTTAACTATGTTTCCTTTTCTTATCTCGTGACTCTAATATCCTTGAGTTAATTGTTACTTTTCTGCACTCTGCATAACATTGCTTACCCTGAAAAGGAATAGCATGATAGATACACGTACATATGATAACTTTAAATTTTAAAGGATTTTTGTTGCTTACTGGCAGAGAAATGAAAACAGATGCCTTAGAAACAAGGAATCATAAAAATCAAAAACCTGTTTGCCAAGTTTACCTGCACTGTATCTGTTTTTTTTCCCTTCTCTTTTGTTTCTAAATGCATTTAAGGCCACTATTTATTATGAATGTAGTTATATCTAGTGAATGCTGATCTGATAGCTAAATTCAGGCTGATTTGATGCCCGAATTCTGTTGATAGCTCTTCTGAATATATGTAGCATTCTCCTATTACGTTAACTTTCTTCCATACCTGGCAGGCTTTTATGCCTTCATTATGGCAATGCTTGTTCCTTGAGTCAGTCCAAATCTAACAAAGCATAAGCTAATAAAGTGCCATGAGTTATTATGATTGGCAAAAAGCATCATTGCATTCTCATTGTCCATCGCCTTGCTGGAAATCATTCCAACTAGGCAATCCATCAACTGACATATAACACCATAGTGAAAATATTACTCTGAGTCTTGTATGTTATCATATTTCATAACTCTAAGTGGTAATAATATGATGACTTACCACTCCTTGGCCTGAATGTTAAGAATATCTCCTGTAGAGTTTAGGAATCTATACAGTAACAAAGATCACGGTAGGTTCTGTTTCAAACGTGGAAGGGAAATAGTGCCTATGAAATCTCCATGAGTTGAGCTCGATCTCACAGAGACATTAACTTTACTTAATTTTAAAGGTGACTCACTGCTAGAGGAAAGATGAGACTTAAATATGATTAAAACATAAATCTAACTTTCGTGAATGAATGCAATTGTTTGAATGCATGAGGAGCTAGAAAATCAAATGCCCAGAAGTCAGAACTATTTTTTCAAGGATTTCAGCGTCATGCACGGCTCCCTGTCCCCACAATATCTAGTATCTGATTTATTGTCATTTAAGGCCCCCTCTCCACATCTCATGCTTTCACTTCTCCATGACTAATTATTTACACTTTGCTCAAATGAAGAGCAGGCTGTTAACATGTACGTTTTATGTGGCCTACCCATTCTTTTTGACTGTGTGTAGAACTCCAAAGCTGAACATGTACAGGTTGATAGGTCTAACTATCCACCCTGAAAAAGGGAAAGATAGAATGTATATAGAGCCTGTTCATAAGGGCATGAAAATAAGATCTAAATTGTCTTCTGTTGGGTAAATAGATACAATGTATATCTGTCTTGTTTTTCAGCTATATTGTGATGGAATGGAATTATGAAGGCCAGACTCAGGGAGAAAAACATTTTCTTACAACTCCTGAGGAGCGTGGAAGATACAAGAGGATGAGACTGGCACCTCCCTGAGGAATTCACAATGTTGTGGCTGGCATTACTTGGGAGCTGGGGTTTTCAGTCTGGGAAGATTGTTGTCAGGCCTAGCCCAAGGAACTCCAAGAGACAATTCAGTCCAGCTATGTTTATTAGCTACAACCTCTAGC